TAATTGTGCACTAATTACCATTCTTTTGATCATATTCTTTCGTTCAAATTATGTCAATAGATGAGCTGATTTGTAAGATAGTTGATTCTTTTATCATAGTATAGTGACTATTCTTCTTAATAATGAAATTCAATTGTGCTTTATGATAAGATTGCATTTTTACAGTATCAAGTGCCAGTTGAATCGAAATTTTCATTTCTAGTGTACAGTGTAAATATAAAAATAATACCATATCTCATTACAAATTTCTTATACTGCAACAAACAATCGTATCTTCATATACTATCCAAAATCCAGGATATGAATAAATAGAACCCAACCTCTCAACCTCATACTGAGCACAAGAAAAACATGCTGTTTAAAATAAGCTTTACCAAGAAACAAAACCCATTTTCACAATTACTGAGTTTCCCAAGAAAGAAAAGAGAACATCAATTTATAGTCAGACTCTATCATCCCCCAAGAACATTATGGTAGAGGAACGAGTACATAAAACGAAAAACACTAAATAATCTTCCAGATACATAATCACATTCTGAAGTGTTCAGACAACCGTTAAAATTTGCCTGGGCACTTCTCTCAAGCATCAGCAACTTTACCAATTGAGGTAGCCTCAGGACTCCCAGTTGATTTTGATCGTTTTGCAATGTAATCTTTAACGGCTGCCTTAAGTGCATCCTCAGCAAGCATGCTGCAGTGTAGTTTCACCGGTGGAAGAGACAGATGTTTTGCGATATCCCTGCCATTGTTGAGAAGAACAGTCAAATCTTAAATCATGTTAATATGAAAAATGATAAGATTTTTATCTATGGAGCACTTCATACTAACAAAAGTGCTCTCTCTCTCTCTCTCTCTCTCTCTCTCTCTCTCAATGTGATGGGTTGATTACAAAGTCACAGTAAGGACCGAGAATGCTGGCATTAGAAACAACGAATGGCTAAAATAATGATTTACTTCCTTTCTGTACCTTTTCAACTTACTCACTATTATGCAACTTTTTGGCTTTTCAAACACTTCAAATTCTCCAAAAATATTTAAGAAGAGATTTACCAAACTCTGTCAAAAATTAATTTTGGGAGATACTATGCAAAACACATACCAACATAGCGAGATTGGCGCAAGTGGTCAAATGAAATTTCTTTCGGATATTTATAATAACAAGTCTCGTTGTTCAAATGGACATCATCTTCATAAAGATGCAGCCTCACATTCCGTGACTGCGAACACCTTAAACTATTGCAATGAACTAAATTTCAAATTTATCAGAAGAGCGCACTTTGGATACCTGAAAAGGGCACATGCTACAGGATCCCTCTCAATGTTTTATCAAAATCGAGCCATAGAGTTCAGTTTGTAGAAACATAAAAATACTGATAAAATATTGTAACTAAAAATTTCAATGAAGTTTCAAATGGGTGATACAGAGGAGGGCAACGATGTCTCATCTTAGGTCAGTACCAGAACCCAACAGAATATCCATCTTACACCCTAGAAGCCCATAATCACAATTAAACCATGAAAAGGAGATTATGAATTAACATGAGAACCCAGAAGCCATAACACACCAAACAGAATAAGGGTTCACGACATAAGTTTGACTTACGTATTCTTGATCAACAGCACTTCCTCCATTAGTTTACCTTTCACCTATTCGGTAGCTGAAATTGGAAAAACCAATATTATACCAAGAGTTACTTAGCTACCAAAAAGATGGCAATGCAAGATAATATTTGGAATTCCTGTCACACATATTCATTCTCATACATCAAAATGGATAAATCAAGCATACATATTAACAATGATCAAGATAGTTTTGAGTAGAAATTGCTCCTTTTGGCTGACAAATGAAGTACAAATAAAGTTTCAACTTACGTGGCGCCACACGAAAATTCTAACAACAACTTAGTGGCAAGACGTAACATCAAAGCAAGGCCCAAACTTTTTTTATTCTATTTTTTCCAAATTAACTGATTACAATGAGTTACTGCGTAATCGATTGCCCACTGAAAACAACAATATTAAAACTTAAATTTTTCCAATGATATTTCAGCTCAAACACAATTTTTTAGCTCCAAAAAATCCAACAGCGTATTTCACTAGGAAAGACCAACGTACCGACAGAGGACGAGGCTATGGCGGAGCCGCAGCCGAAAACCTTTTGACAAACATCGACGATTATACCGGTCTCCTTATCAACCCTAATCTGCACTTTCATGACGTCGCCGCACGCCGGAGCCCCGACTAGGCCCGTCCCCACGTTCGGATCGTTCTTGTCGAACGACCCGACGTTCCTCGGGTTCTCGTAGTGATCCACCACTCTCTCGTGGTACATCCGCCACATCGCGGCGGCGGCAGCGCCTCCGTCCGCCGTGGAACGCAAGTTACGCAACCGCTGGCCGAGAATCGCTGTCGCTACTCCTTACGTGCCTCGACATTTGGGATTCTTCTCGAAAAATCCCAACAACTTTTGTATTTCCAAATTTGTTCGAGTGTGCGGATATTGACCTTACAGATTGTAAAGTCCATTCCATAGCCCAAACATTAAGGCCCAAAACTATATGCTGAAGGCCCATTTTGTAAATTGACGCATTTAAAACGTTAAACTCATCTCAATGCGCACAGATCGTCTTGCTCAGTACCAACTCCGGCAAAGGAAAACCCAGCCGCCCGCCGCCGCCGCCCGCCGATTTAAAGGCTACGTGATTAGGTTTCTCATATCTACATGTAAGATTTTAAATCCTACTTGCAGAGAGAATGCAAGTGCAATGTCTTCGCATGAATTTTGTGAAATTTTATCAGTTGAATTCGATATGTTTTCAAATGGTTTGTTTTTATGTTGCGGCTGAATTGTGGTGTTTTTTGTGTTTTTCTTCTATTTTCAAAGGCCTGTGATTGATGTAATATGTGATTTTCTTCTTTTTAACCCTAATTCAGAAAGAAACATAGTTGAATGATTTTAATCGACATTTGAGCTATTGGCTTTCTACTCAAAACATATCCTTGCAAATTAGCGTCTCCATCCTCCTAAAACTGGCGCTGCTGCAAATGGGGTGTGGACTTTGAATATTGGTTAAATGGTATATATAAATTTGATTTATTTGGTTAACAAGTTCCAATCGTTGTTCCATGATATTTTTTGCTCCCAGATTATAGTCTGAAAAGAAACTGCTGCGAATTGAGTATTTTTGTTCCCATATTGTAGTTTCAACTTTCAACAGCCCCATCCTCCCCATTTGTGGACATAGAGCTTGAAAAGAAAAGAAAGAAAATCAAGAACAAGACCCGAGGGTTGAACGAAATCGAGATGAGCAATATTAAAGAAGCTCAGGGAAATGAGGTTGGAAAAAATGTGGACATAGAGAGTAATTTTGAACGAAAGAGTACTGAAGATGATAATGAAGAGAGGAGGAGGAAGAAGAAGAAATCGAAAAGAAGACATGATGATCAAGACTCTGAGAGGGAGGGAAAAAAACAGAGAAAAGAGTTTGGGCAACATTTTCAGAATTTGGAGGGTGATGATGCAGAGAAGGTTGGAAGGAAGAAAAGAAAAAAGAAGAAAAAAGATAGCAAGGATGACAATTGGTGTCGTGACATTTCTGGTGAAGCTAAATATGACGAGGGTGATTTTCCTTCTGCGCAACAGGTGCCAGATAATGTTGAGGAAAAGATTGAGTCGAATAAACATGATGGCGATGCCACAAAGGAACTTGACAAAAAGAAGAAGGAAAAGAAGAAGAAAAAGAAAGAACATGGTAAGGACGATTCATCTGCTGCTCAGGAAGATTATGCAGAAACTGACACCAGTATTCGTATGCATACTGATGATATGCAAAGTAACAAGGAAGAATATGCAACCAAAAAGAAGAAGAAAAAGAAACATACTCAAGTAATGGAAGATGGTTCTGTGGAGGTAAGAGATAATGGTGCTACACATGAGAAAAAAGGAAAAAAGAAAAAGACCAAATCAGTGGAGAGCGGGTCAAGTGATGATGCTACACCCAACACAAGTAACAAGAAAGTTAGATTTTCTAATCAAGTTGACGTTTTTCCCCTTCCAGGCAATTCAAATTCAGAAAAAGGGAATGTGTTCGGTGATGAACTGGTTAGAGGTAAGAGGTTCACGCCTGAAGAGGATGAAATCGTCAAAGCCGCTGTTAACGATTACATATTTAGTCATGACTTAGGTGAAGAGGGTCTGGACATGGTCCTCAACTGTAGTAAGCACCGCAAAGTGAGAGGCTGTTGGAAAGAGATTGGGTCCGCCATTCCGTACAGACCTTACACGGCCGTGTACTTCCGTGCTCAGATTCTATTCCGCAGATCCGAGACTCGGAAGTGGACTGAGGAAGAATATGAACAGGTCCTTAAGTTCTACGAGGAGCACGGCAATCAGTGGAAGAAGCTGGCGGACGAGCTCGGCAAGCACAGGTTTCACGTGAAGGACACGTGGCGGAGGATAAAAACGGCCAACCGCAAGAAAGGGCACTGGTCGCAAGACGAGTACCAGAAGCTGTTTGACCTGGTCAACATTGACCTTCAGGCGAAGCTTGAAGAAGAAAAGAAATCCAAGCACGGGATGCTACGTGACAATATCTGCTGGACGGCGATTAGCGATGAGCTGACGACTCGTTCTCAGGCGGTTTGCTGTATCAAGTGGTATGACCAGCTGACCTCATCAATGGTGGCCGAAGGGTTGTGGACTGATATGGATGACTATCGGTTGATTGGTGGGCTTTATAGCTTGGACGCGACTTGCATGGAGGATGTGGAGTGGGATGGTGTAGTGGAAGGGAGGAGTGGAGATGTTTGCCGAAGGCGTTGGAATCAGATGGTTATGCACTTGGGGCGTAATGGGCATAAGCCGTTTGGGGAGCAAGTTGAGATCTTGGCTCAAAGATATTGTCCGCATTTGCTGGAGGCGAGAGAGATTTGGGATAATAAGCCGAGAGTTCCGTGACGTGTGATTTGTTTGTGGTGTTTTTCCGGTTTTGTTGGGCAAGGCTTCTTCTGGTTTTGTTTGAAAATTCTGGTTGTGTGGTGATGTGCTTAGCTTATGTTTTTGTTTTATTTGTTACTGTTTGATTTTTGGACATGATTTAATTCAGTTGCTCTTTGTGTTTGCTTTGTACTTCATTGACTCTAGTAAAATAACAAAAAGTACCCCTGGACATATCATACTTCTTACAGTTAGTTATATTTGGACTCCTCTTTTCCGGTCGAGGGAATTCAATGATCACCAACTCAAACTATAATCTACACAAGTTTTTCTCAATGAGAGTTTAACAATGGCCTATCAAGCATAAGCACAAGTGAAAAGATAACGTGCACAATAAGACCGTAACATTTGCAACTAAAAAATCTGAATATATTCCATAGAAGAAGAAGAAAAAATGGACATACTACTATAATATCTGAATATATTCCATAGAAGAAGAAGAAGAAGAAAAAATGGACATACTACACAGTACAGAGGTAACAAAAACCAAGAAAAATATCACCCTAGACTAAAAGCATACAAGACGCTCACAATTGCTTACTAGTCTAACAGAATAAGGAATGATAATCGTCAACAAAAAAAAAAAAAAATGTCTTCTGAATCAAAAACTCTTAAGCAGTCTTAGGCTTTGGTTTGATCCGCTTCACTCTCGAGTACAAGAAGACTCCAGTAAGGGCTATACCAGTACCTGTACCAGAGGAATTTAGAATGAGACAATGAAAATTGAGATTTAAACTGCAATGTCGATTTGTGAAGACTTAAACAAAGTAAATAAATAAATATAAAAGAGAGAAAACTATCGTTATACCTAAAGAGTTAATAGGCGAAACAGGCGTGCGGAAGAAGAGAACAGAGGTGACGATTACTACAACTCGCTTAACACAGTTGCCTACAGAATGAGTAACAGGGGACACACGCTGCAATATCATGTAAGAAACCTGTCCAAACAAACTCCAATCAGAAATAATTTTGGCGAAATAGAAAATGCACAAGAAGCCAAGAAATCAGGCACGGTTAAAGTTGCTAGAATCTTTATTACTAGATAAAATGAATTCTAATTCCGTAATATTTTTCAGTGATTGTCAAGGAAAATAATATGAAACTTGAGACTCGGACCAAATTCAGTGTATCGGATAACTACTGATACGCGTTTTCATATCGTCAAGAATGCAGTACGGAATGCATGTATGTATCGAACAAGGCTTTGATACAAAATCTACATCACTGTCCACTTGAAATATATGAAAGTAGCTTACAAACTTTATACAACAAAAGCTATTTCAAAGCTTACCTGCTGATATGCATGGAAACAGAGGGCAGCTAGAAGTGATCTAGTGTACAGCTGGTTAACATTCACTCCCTATAAACATAAACAAAAACTAAAAAAGTTAATTTTTATAATTATTGCCAAAGAAACAAACAGAAAAATGAAACATGGTTTCAGGAAGGAGCAGAATAATCTTATAAATGAAAAGCGATTTTTTAGTTTCAGATTCACTTACAGCAGCTTGAAGATATGAAGGTGTAAACTTGATGCCTTCCATGAAAATGGCAGTAGGAGCCATCAAGAAGAAGGACATGATAGTAATTATTGAGAAGAGGGTAATGTTGTCCAGGGACTCCTGTAAGCAGAGAACTCTTGAAGCACAAATATCCAAAATGAAACTAAAAGAAAAATAAGCTAACTATTTTATTTTCTCCTCAGTGCTTAACAGATTTCCTAGAAGAATTGATTAAATCTTATGGGGTTATGTTCATAACTTTCGGGCAAAACAGGATATTCCGCAAGATTGGCACACATAAAAACCAGTTAGGAAAAAAAAACAAATTTTACCTCTTTCTTGACCATGAACTTTTTGCTAAGGACGTTTCGTGATTGGTTTGTCAAATTTGATGCCATGGCACTCCAAAAACCAGCCCTTTAAAAATCAATGATAATTCAAATTCCGTGAGGTAATCTTGAAGAGAAGCTGTAATCAAACAAATTAAGATGACAGCAATGAGCAATCGACTGAAAGCAACGAGTTGTGGTTCTTTACCAATTGAAAGAGGCCTCAGTCATTGATGCCAAAGCTACTCCACCAACAATTGGCAGAAGAGACGAAACTACCCATAGTGTAGGAAACTGCACCAGAGAGAGATTAATTCAAGCAAAAGAATAAATAAATTAAGTAAAAAAAATAAATGCCAGTGTAGGCAACAAAAACTAATGGCATTTGTGTAGCAAACAAACAAGAATGTACAAATAGAAGGGGGAAAAAAACTGTTCATGTTGTTACTTTGGCCTAATAACAATAAAACCAAAGTATCCTAAAAATCGAAAACACAAGCATCACCTAAATGTGTCTATATTCTTAACAAAGACATCCAAGGTCAAATTTGTAGACACTGAAATGAATATAAAGGTTTCGCATAATATGAACAATTGCTGGTAATTTGCAATTCCAATAAAAAACAAGGACTTTTTCTTAATTTAACCTAAATTTTATTTTCACAAGATAATCATCCATTTCAATGATTTACATTTTCAAAACATAACAAGGATAAGAACTATATCATCATTCAATTTTTTCCCTGATGAATAAAATTAACAAAAATAACAGTTTCAATCGGCAGCATTTTAACAAATGGAAAAAAAAAAATGCATGGGCCAACTTCTGAAGATATCAATGTCAAAACCAACAGACATGGAAGTACATGGATTATTCACCTCCCCGAGAAACATAGCAGATAGAACAACTGAGAAGAAAGGCTCCATAGCTTTAATTGTGTGAGTGAACGAAACAGCAACTTTTCCAAGACTCATGTTTGTGAAGAGGTTGCCTAAGGTATGCACCAATGCCAATGGAAGAATAGCAACAAGCTGCCAAAATTTGATTATAATACTACAATTAATTACCGGGATAATTAAACGGAATTGATTAACTTTCTGAACACGCTCATGGTAACCAAGTACCTGTGCTCCACTGATTTTAGGACGTTTGTAGAGGTTTAATGTCCACATTAGAGTCACGAGCACACTACCGACGGCAAATTGGACAAGAGTGACTGTCATTGGGTAGTGAAAAGCTCTCAGAACCTATTGTTAACAAAAAGAAACGCCGTATATCAGTAATCGAAGGATGCTACCAAACACAATTAAAGTTCAAATGCAAATTCAAACAAAACAGGGTCGTACAATATGCTTCCTCTATCCATGAACAATTGCTACCAATACATTTCTGGACATCCAAAAAATTATTTCCTCACTAAAAAGGGAAATTTTGAATGGACCAGCCTACAAAAGTTTGCTCCATTTTAAGAAAAAAAAATAAAAATTAACACCGAGATTGCTTAAAATAAGCTAGCATTCAAAGGCAACAAATGCTAGTGAAACTTCAACTATACTAAAGATTTTTTATTATTTCATCTTAAATTTGGAAACAAAACTACAAAAATTAGACAAAATTGGAAGCAACCCCATTATTCACAGATCACACAAGGAAAAAGATAACTTTTTGTAACAGATCTCCCAACTAATCTCCCTCAAACACACAGAGCAACTCAACTAATTAAGTACAACAAACCTATCCATCAAGAAAAAAAAAGGATATTTTCGATCGCCATAAAACAAAACCAAAACCGAAACAAAGAAGAACACTGAAAAATGCCCACCTGCTTGTTGTAGATGTTGAAGTAGATATTAAACAGGTACCAAAGCCCGAAAAGCGTCCCGAGAACCAACGTATCCCTCAAATCCTTCGACTTCGAGGTCTCATCCGGGCCCGCGGTCTCCGCCGTGGCCCGAGGCACCACGACCCGGTCAGATTCGGGCTCCGGAATTCCGGGATTGGGCCCGGAAACCCACCCTCTCTGCTTCAGGGAGAAGCTAATCGGGCTCAACTTTCCAGCCGACGATGAAACGGCGGAGCCATTGCTAAGGTGGCGGCGCGCCGAGGACGGGCCGGAAAGGGGGTGGAACCCGCGAAAAGGGAGCTTTCGAGGGCGGGTAGAGAGAGAAAGGGACGGCGAGAATGCAACGGCCGATCCCTGCATCTTCGTCCTCGCTCCCAGATCAAGCAAGAGAAAGTGGAGAGAGAATAGAAAGTTGGAGGCTCCGTCGAGAGAACAAGAAAATGTGTAGGTGTGAGTGAAGAAAGAAGAGTGGGAGTTGGTGGCAGTGTGTGCGGGGGCATTCTTGGTATTTGAAAAATTTTGGGGTACCGAATTTGGGAATTCACATATATAAAAATAAGAATATTATGCCTACTTTTTTGACAGAAATGTTGGTTTAAAGTTTTGTTTAAGAACTAAGTACTAAAAATTTTGTCTAGTACACTGCTAAATAATAATATATTTTCTTTTTATGATCTATTTATTATTACCTTATTGTCATATTATTGTTTTAGTCCATGAATTAAGATTCTTTAACATGTTCTACTCAATTTCACTACGGTAAAATGTAGACAACCAAAAGGAAATGGAATTTTCTCATGTGAACAATAATTTGTCTTCTTTTGTTGAAAGGTTGGTGAGGACTGATGCTGGAATATGACCTAAAGTTAGGTTCATTACAATAAATTAAAATTAGCAGACCAACAAAACATAACTACTACTCTCAACGGTCTAAAATCATTTCAGATTTCAGATAATAAATTATAAAAAAAAAATAGAAGAACTAAAAAGTTTAAATAATGCAGCTTTTTTGTACCATGATATTTTATTATTTTTTCATTTTTTGTGTGCTCGTTTTCCTGCTTGTTGTACTTGTATATACACATCTTTAGTCTTTTTATATTGGAAATCACACACAACAGGTCATTGTCAAGAATAGGAGTCATACTGCATTTATAATTCTGGCTCATGTTTAATATTGACATAAAATATTCATATAGTGTGCAAAGTATACACATGCTGATGTTTATTTTTATCTAATGTAGTAATAGAATCTGCAGTGAAAAGATGATGAGAGAAAATCTGCATAACGCAGTCAATGGTGTTTGGTTGAAAGATCACAAAATCTTCATGTATAGGAAGTGCACATTAAAATGTACCCAATTTTACCACCTAGAAAAGTATTTACAGAGTAATTCAAGAACTAACGAAGGCGAACAAGGAACAAAAAACAGCACGAATCGTGTTTGTTACTTACTAAACAAAAATAACACAAAGGATGAACAAATCAACTCCATTCCACACAAAGATCAATAATTTATCCACAAACAATTCATGATAAAATTACACATTATTCCATTCAAGAAACACAAATGGTCAAAAGAAAGGGGAGAAAAAAAAAAAAATGTCTCAGGCGTATTCACATCATCACATGTACACAAGAAAACTAGAAGTTTTCATCACCTGGCACACGGGGCAAACATCCACGAGCCCCTCACAGTCCATGCACAGGCACAAGTGTCGGCAAGGGAACAACAAAAAGCTGACCTGTTTACTCTTGCAAGCTCTGCATTTTAGCCGTTTATTTTCTGATTCCCATTTTTCGCCACAGCCACCAATAGTCTCCGGAGGATTCATGCAAGAGGTGGCATCATCCACCTCATTATCCCCAAAGCCTTCACGATTATGGGCTGCCGTGCCTTGTGCCATGAGCTGATGAATATGGTTTTTCAATACATTGGCGATCGACTCGTTGTACTTTGCTTTGCTGTGCCACGAATGTGCCTCTATGGTGACTTGCTTTATTCTATCCTCCAACTCTTTGTTCTTGCGGTTAATGTTGTCTATTTGAACCTCCTTCTCGTGCAGTTTCTTGCCGGCAACCTTTTCCAAGGCATTGAACAGGGAAATCATTTGCCTCTGATTTAAGTCGCGTCCGCCTTTCAAGATATTCTCTTCCTGCTCATGTAAGTTAACTCAGAAGTTGAGGATACAAACAGAACTTGAGGTAAATCATGGTACGATTGCTAAAATTCCGCTTTTGTTTACGTAGAAGCTAAAGGTTAAGAGTTTTTAGTAAGGGAATATTTGCAATCACTACCAATGAAAGTTATTTTAGGTTGTACAACTATTAGTTTGATTTCTACTAAAACGTACTTCACTATTTCAGGATCAATCACTCTCTCGTAAATCAATCGATTTTTCAGCTTCTATTTGCAAATATTACTAACTTCTGATTCTCAACTACTTCACTTTCCACTACCATGCATCATGAACTAAAGCAAAAGTTCTAAGACGTACTAAATAAGCAGTAAATGTGTGTTATTTGTGCAAATTTACAATCAAAATCCAAAATGTAACAAAAACCCTGCAACACTCTTTCCTCCATATATTCTGGTTGAACTGCAAAAAGCTACGCAAAAATGCATTTGAAGACATTAACTAATCATTCTTTCTTTCTTCATTTTTCTCATCAATTTCAAAACTTTTAGCCAAGAGTGTATCACGGAAGCTCATTTGAAAAGAAAATAAAGTTTACAACTGCACCTGTTGTTTGATGTATTGGCAGAATTCTTCCGTCTGCCGATCTATCTGCATTGTAATAGTATTACCAAGTGAAAGAACACCTGGAAGGGTATTTCTTATATTTTCGTATGTAGAACTAACAGAGGAACTAAGCTCTTTTTTCTCAGAAAAAAGTTTAAGCCCAGTTGACACGAGATTTGGATTTGGAGGAGCTCCAATATGGCCGTGTTTGTCTTGATTATCATTATGATTCAGATAAACCCGAAACTTTTGGGGTGCGTTTACGAGTTCACCTTCCCTTAGTCGTTTGATAGGGCGACTAGCATTAGGTGGCTGCTTGTTTGCCGCATAGTTTCCAGTGGCAATGGCAATGCCAGACTGGATTGGAACTGCAAAATCATGCATGAATAAGAAATGATAGGATAAGATGAAGAACCTTCCATCATCATATAAATGTTGTTACTTTTACATTATAGGTTAAAAGGCGAATATTCGGATTAACTTTTCCAAATGGATGAGGTAATTTCCAGTTTCACTTACTTATCAGTATCTTCATACCGTAAGTCAAGAAAACAAACACCCTTAAAGTGGGAAAACAAATTCCCCCAAATGATCTTTAGTATTTCCTACACTTGGGTCCTGAATTAATTGTTTTTGCAGTTAACAACCTAAACTACTCTACGAATTTCATACTTTGCAACCTCTGGCCACCCAGAATCTAGAGTCTAGACCTTGAACCATGCCTAAGCTTGAATCTATCTTAACAAGGTATAAATTCGAGTTCAAGCTTTACTTTATGGATTTGACCATGAACCAAACCAAGTAACATTTATAATTGAAAGCTTGATACATGCTGTACGATCTCCAATGTTATATTTTGCAAGATTCAGATAAGTAGACTAACATATAACAGATCCAGTTTGATTTCTAACCAAAAACGCAGGCAATCTAAATGGCAAGCTGTAAAAGAAATATCAACTCGGTAATGTGTAGATGAAATTACAATCAAACAGAAGATTCTAACACTTCTTTTAATTTAAATTGCACAGTTATAGGATAAAATCATATTTTTGATAAGGTTGTAATCATAGACTCTGTAGGTGCCGCAAGCTATGAGATAACTGAATTCCAATAACCAGAGCAACATCACTAAGCATTAAGGCATTCAATATTTAAAAAAGAAAACGGAAGGCGTTCGAAAGCTCAACACACGTACGGCCAGATTCTTACCTTGTTTAATGAACTGAAGCTCAGTTAACCTCGCGTTATCAAGCTGGGTTCTATCATCCTCCGTGGAACCAGAGAATTTAACATTACCCAACATCTTCCTGAAAACCATGTTCTAATGCATCAAATTCAAGAAATCTCACAAAATGAAATATCCATCTTGATTCTCGATGGCCCAAAACAAGAAACTGTTAGCAGGAAAAAATGGTGAATGAAGGTGGTATAATAACACAGACGAAAAACAGTCTTATATAACTCAAGGAATGTGATCAAAAGTCATAGCAATAGTTGATACTTGATACAATATTTTTTTTTTTTTCTTTTGTTGAGAATCAGTATCCTGCACGAAATCAACACATCCCATTATAACACCGATTCTAAAGACCCCAAAGCATCATTGAAAAACACAGCATTTCCTTAAAATAAGCTTCAACGCAGAAAATCAACTAATAAATAGAAAAAATCCCACTATTCAAACAAATCATATGATCAACGACAAATCCAAACCAAAGTTCTTTACTTTAATCTTTCTTTCTGAACAGAACTCACCAAAATCAGGATTTAGAAACCCAGGATTTCCGCCGATCGGAGAAAATAAAATCACGGGAAAATTTTGCCTTTGGGTCAAGAGAAATGGGGAAAATGGATGGTGGGAGCAATAATTGTTAGGGGAGCGGATGGTGTTGGTAGAAGTGTTGTAGTTGATGATATTGTCGTTTTGGCTAAGCAAAAAAAGGATTCCATTGGTTGGAATAGGTGTTGGTGTGAGGAGAGATTGGAGGAAAAAAGTGTGAAGATGATGACTTCTCGTCCTTGTTGAAGAAATCTTATTCTCCATCTTTTTTGTCGCTCTCTCTCTAGAATATCTCTCTCACTGTTGGTCCTTCGGTCTGGCAGCCATATCTTTTTCCTTTACCTCAAACCAGTAAAATTTGTTTCTATCTTTTCATTTTTTAAATTTTTTTTTTTATTTTGATTGGTTATCTTTTCTGTTTCTTTTTTTTTTTTAATTCCAATTCCAAGATTAGAGACTCAAAAAAATTTTAAATCTAAAACGGATCAGTCGACCCGGTCTACGAATCTATTCTAACTCTCAACGAATTCTAGAATTTTGATTAAAATCGCAGGATATGCACGGATTTATTAAATGAGTTATTTTCACAGCTTTGTCCGTTTAAGTCTAAAAAATAATAGAGTTATTATTTATTTTCTACTTCTTTTAATCAACGTTAAGTCTAAAAAGGGTTCTTATATGTTTTTATCCACATCTAGTCATAACATTAAATATCAGTATGTTAGAGCTAGCTTGTAAAATAATTAATATATTATCTCACTAAAATATTTATACTAATAAAAATTTAACTTTAGCATATAATTTATTCCTTGATATAAGAGAAAGTAACAGTTTTACTTATTGTTGTTCACCATATAATATTTAGTTATTATTTTATTATAATAAAAAGGAATAGTGTTAAATAGTGTAGTAGAATTGTTATAAAATTATATGAATTATTTTCTTTTACAATATGGATTTAATATCTTTTTATGATTTGATAATATAAACAAATCTATACTTACCTTTGACTTTTTTATCAAAGGTAAAAAAATCGGTTATGATTTTTATTCCATAACCAATCTTTAATGTCAAGCCTATAAATACCAAAATAAATCTGTAATTAATGTCATTCTATTTCCAGCAAGCATTAATTACCTTTGACTTTTATGCTTACTATTTCTAGTAAATAAGAAGGCTTTTTATATAAGTACTAGTGCGTAGCCCGTGCGATGCACGAGTAAACAATATTAATAATAATTATAAATAGCTCTCGAGTTCGAGGAACCACAATTGAACATCTTTTAAAAGAGCAAGAAAAATAAAATATTATAAATTAAAGATGGGTAAACAATATTAAATAATAATTATAAATTAAAAATGTGGAGTTAACATCTGATATAATTTATCGTATATCAGTTTATTATAAACAATATAAAATTAGTTTGTACAAGAGAACATAAAATTTGTATGTTTACAATATTAAAAACACTTAAAATATTATATTAACATATGTAAAAGTACATGAAATTTCTATATTATTATTAAAAGATGTGAAGTCACATACAATTTTTCTAAACTATATTGGAAAGGAAACGTGTCTAAAAACATTTAAATTTCACATTTGTATGAAAGACATTTTCTAAATTTTTTGTAAAGAAAACATGTCTAAAAATATTTAAATGTAATATGTATATGCATATGTGTACATTTATATGAATATATATAGACAGAATATGGCATGATAAAATATTATATAAAAGTATCTAAATATTATAAGCCTAAATATAGACATTATAAAGTTTTTGAGAAAAAATTTACCTAGTGTATATATAAAATAGATATTGACATGATACCGAGATTTATGACGGTACTTTCGTACCCAAAAATTTGAGTACAAAATTTCAAAATTATTATTATTATTTTTTAAGTAATTTGAGTACAAAAGATTTTAAAATTATTATTATTTTTTGTTACCGTAAAAAGAAATTTTGTACGCATTGAATTCCACGCTTTATTCAGATTTATCAATTTTACAAATAAAATGGGATTTATTTTATATCTAAATGAGATTAAGACAATGTTGTTACTAAAAAACTTTATACGCATACAGTTCCACATTTATCAATTTTACAAATACAAATCGAGATTAATGCAGGTTGCAACAAATAAAATTGAATTCTATATCTAAATGAGATTAAGAAAAAAATTGAAGATAATATTTAATTCTGTATTTAATTCTCTTCACATATATATATAACATCTAAAATATTATATCACATATATAAAAAGTATATAAAATATTCTATATTATTCTTGAAAAATGTTTGAAGCCATCTAATTTTTTTCTAAACTATTTTGTAAAGAAAACATGTCTAAAAATACTTAAGTTTAACCTTCATATATGTATATATATATCCTTCATATATATAGCTCCTGAATCTTTGTCCAACTAATATTTAAAATATCTAAAATATTATATAAGATAATAATATTAATAATATTTGAAAAAATATTAGTAATTAGATAGGTGAAAATCAGCTTACTTAAATGGGATTTTTTATTGGAATGAGTTTTAAACTTAGCGAAATTTATTCGATGGATTATGTAAATTACGGATGAGATTTTTTTATTGAACAAAAAAATTATTTCACAAGGGAATTGGTATTCAAATTGGTATTTAAAATCGGAAGAATCCAGAATCTTAGGATGCAATGTATGGTGTATGGAGTAAAGAGATCTCGATTATGTGAAATTTGTAACAACCTCCACATGTGAAGGATATCAATTAATGTTGTGCGTGTTAAAAGAAAAAAAATTGCTATTAATGGTAAGTCATTAATGCTAACCAACTTTGACCAATAGTTTGACCTGCTATTTTTGAAAAATGATAATTCTTATTATATATATATATGTAGAGAGAGAGGGATAGAGATATTACTCTATAGCTACTATGGATGGTCAATAGAAAATCCACCTCATGTTTCTCCTAGTGTTTGAACTCCCCATCTTATGGTTAAAAATATGGCTTTCTGCAATTAGTCAAGACCAATCCGCTTGTGCCTGGGGCATCTTTCAACATCACTAATACATTTTTAAGTACTATGTATGTGGACATGTTGACTCCACTAGACCGTTTCGAAAATTATCAAGTGGAGTAGTGATGTGTTAACACCTGAAAACGGTATGACTATTTTTTATCCATTACAATAGTCATAAGTGGATTGTTCACTTTCTTAATTAGTCGATGACCAAACGTATCTCCTACTTGGTTGGAAGTCCTATAAATAAGATTTGGTAGAGCTACAGAAGGTACATCATCTGCATACTTTATGTTCTAAAGCCTCGCGCATCATACATAATTTCTCAACTCCATGCAAGCTCGTCGGAACTCATAAATCTGAAGTGCTACAATTTCTTAGGCATAACCATTGTCTATTTGTAAATGAGACACCTGAATTTGTCAGCACATTACGATGCGTATTCATTTTGTGGAAAGAGCAACTCTCGTCTCGACTTATTGTTTTTCTGCTTCCAAGTTGTCTAATAATTTTATGTTTTTGGTTCATATTGTAAAAAGTTAAACATATCAATTCAGTTTGTAGGTTTCCCATTATAACTCTACACTCAGTTTGAAACAGAGATTTGTTAGGAGAAAAAAGAAAAAATAAGGAAAGAGATAGAGGCACTAAAAGAATGTGAGAATGTGATGTGATGGAGTATTAAGGTTTGTTGGGTTCAAATATGCTGCTCTTTTATGCGGGCTGGTTGACCTCATTGTGTCTTAGTGGTTGCTTTTGCGTTGTTGATGGTGTATATCCTTTTGGAGGGAAGTTGTTAGCGACTTAGGGCGTGGTCTTAATGTGGGTTCGGTCTAGCTAGAGGATGGGAAGTTTTATTATATTTTTAATATGTGTTTTTATGTATGTTTGTGTCTGCTTTTTGTGATTTGTTATTCTTCAATGTTTGAGTTTATAATCTCCACTTGTGAGAGTATTTAGTACTTTAGTTTGTATTTGTGTTGTTGTTGTTGGCTTTCTAGGCTACCTTTGAGAAGACTTCCATCTGAATTCAACTTATAGTAGCTGATGGTTGGACTCGACTGTTTTTGGTTATTCTAGTTTGTAGATATTTGTGTTATTATTGTAAAGTATATCATTTTGAAAAAAAAGGGCTTAATATGCCTAATCTATAGTGTGTGAGTTTATTATTTGTATTATGTTTTTTTTCTTTGTTGTAATAATTGTTTTTGCTCCTTTTGTGACTTGTGTAATTTCAAAAGTAGATATATCGATTTATTGTATTGATAGTAAATTAGTATCATAACATTTGCAATTTCCGTAAAACAAAAGTAATTATTTTAAAGTGATTGATCAACTTATAAAAAATTTAAAAATAATCAATTTGTTCAACTAACAAAAAAATAAAAATAAAAAATCTCAAACCTTTGCCTATGTTGGATTTAATGGGTGTGGAGTGTGGCCACACTTCAAGTACTGGCTGCTAGAGTTGTAAACGAACATAATGTTCGCGAACAAAAGCTCGTTCGAGTTCGTGCGTGTTCGATAAAAGCTCGTTCATTTGTTAATCGAGCCGAGTTCGAACAGAAAATTAGGCTCGTTTAATAATCGAACGAACACAAGCTCGTTCGTGAACGTTCGATTATGTTCACGAACATTAATTAATATAATTTTATTGTATTTTTTATATATTTACATAATATTTTTAATAAAAAATCTAAAATTCAATATAATTTTATTTATTTATTTTATATTTACATAATATTTATAATAAAAAATCTAATATATAAAAATATTTTTATTTTATTCTTTTATTTTCGAGTTCGAACGAACAAATTTCGAGTTAATCAAACATATTTAAAAAGTTTATGTATTAAATTATTCGAATACGAACGAACTCAAAATTTGACGAACAATTAAACGAACGAACTCGAACACGATTTTTTGCTCGAAAAATAAACGAACAAATACTAACACTATTCGAATGCAAACGAACACGAGCTCGAACAGCTCAAGCTCAGTTCGGTTCGATTAGTTTAACGCCCCGATCATATTATAATATTAAGACGATTTTCACTGCTCGACTTTAAGTGAAAAATCGTAATTTTTAGAATTCAAGATTTATTTAAATTATATGCTAAGTGCTCAAATATATTAAGTTCATATTAAGTTCCGAGAATTTTAAGCGAAATAGTTGTCCGTGATGAATCCTAGTTCCCGAGTTTTAGTTATAACCAAACTATAGTAATGTGATACTTAGAATAATTTTTCTAAGTGTTATATACTAGCAATACTTAGGATATTTTTCTAAGTATGGTGAAGTATCAAAGTTTAAGCCTAGACTTTATTCTCGAACCTTAACCTATTCCCGAGCCGCTCGCGCACCTAAGACCCGAGTCGTGCCAAGTCCTCGCGTGAGCCGATCCCCGAGCTAAGCCTATTGTTTAGTTGAAGTGTTAGGATTATTCTAAGTATTTTTCTAAGTCCAAAACATCACTAGAACCAAGCCATATGCTCAGCCCAAGCAAAAACCCGCGAGCCACCCATACCGAGTCATTCGAGTCGTGCCATTCGCACCCAAATCGAGCCCAACCGAGCCAAGACTCAACCATTTTGAATTTTCAGCATTTTAAGTGGTCCATGTTGACCAAGACCAAGCCACTAAATACCTTTGACCAGCATTAGTCTTGGAGACATCCCTTCTTGAGTTCTACTCCCAACAAACTCACCTCTTTTGTTGTGCCCAAGACAAATGTCTTGTTCCTTTGTCTCCTTGACCCCTTAAACCCCCAAGACCAAGAGATATCAGATTTTCACCACTTCATTTTCGTTCTAAGCAAGATAGAGAGCTCCAATACTTAGCAAAAATTGAGAGAAGAGAGAAGAAAGCTCCATCTACCTCCCTTTCATACTATTCACGCCACTAGCACCTCCAGCCCCTTTTACTTCGTGTAGCCACCACCAAGGAGACCACCTAGAGTTGGATAAGGTCCCTAGCATCCTTGGAGATCATCCCAAGCTCCCAAAGTCGCCCCCAAAGGCACCATTGCCGCGAGCAAGCCAAGGAGAGATCCTAGTGTTCATTTTCGAGTTTGGTGAAGGTAGGCTACCCCAATCCATTTTTCTCAGCTTCCATATGATAAAATAAGAATTATCAAGTGGATAAACCAAGTTTTTCTTGCATTTAAAGTGGAGTTTCGAATTTTTGAAACTTAAGACCTAAAATTCATATTTTTAGTTGCAAGCATGTTTTGGTTGATTTTATTTGATGATAAATCATTATAAATCATGTGAAAGTATGTGGTAAAATTTGAGCATGTTTGGAGTTCATTTTCTAGGTCATCTAGGACCTCACATAGTCGCATTTTAGCCTCCGAGCCAAGTATTTGTGCATTCGAGTTTTACCATGAGTATTGACTTCTAAAATCATGTTTTTGCATGTATAGCTTTCGGCCATAGCAAGAAAAAAATGAAATGAGTTAGTAGTTCTGGTGACCTAAGAACATTCAAGCCATGCATGTCATTTTCTATGAGTTTCGATTTTTAAGATTTAAATGCCTTAAATTCGGATTTTTAGCTCCATGCATGTTTAAGTTGAAATTGTTAGCTTTATGTGCCTTATAAATCATGAGAAAGATGATGTATAAATTTGAGAATTTTTGGAGTACGTTTGTTCGGTCAACTAGCCCTTGAAATTATGCTATTTTTCGCTCCCGAGCCATGTTTATGTCCATGCATGTGAAACCTATCATATTGGTCTTAAAAATCAAGTTATTACATGTAAGGAATTCGGCCATAGTCATGACTTACTATGATAAATACTTGGCCTTAGTCATATACGGTAGTTAGAGAAGTCGATTTGGTGACCTAGGTCCGTAAGTGCCTTATCGGCTCTATCGGACCAAGACCATGCATGCCCGAGGTCTCCTAGGGCTTCTTTACATTTTTTATGTTTACTTCACCATATTAAGTTAATAAATGTTGCATGTCCCTAATAAAGTTGCCAAATAGTAGAAAAAAAGGGGGTCGGGATAATTGGTTTTAAGTCGTTTGAGAAGTTATGCTAAAGGACCATCGTTTGAGCCTTTTCATCGTTTTCGAAAATTGAGTTTATGAGCTGCGTTTTTCTGAATTTTGAACCTCTGGTTCTATGTGTATATATCTGGTATATATATATATAATTATGGGGTCAAAAGAGTCGAGTCAAGTGCCCTTTAGCTCGAGTGGAAATCGAGTCGTTTGCCGAAAATTCGAGCCTCGTTTATTTTTGAAAATCTGAGAACTTTGTTGCTGCGTCTTTTTCTTTTCT